CCCAGCCCTCTCTGAGGGAACAAGAAGAAGAAGAAGAAGAAGAAGAAGAAGATGAAGAAATCACACTGAGTTCATCACCATATCCCACTCCATCACTGGGGTCATGTAACATTTACTCTAGGAGGAGGAGGAGGAGGAGGAGGAGGAGCTGGACTGAACACAGAACAGCCGCAGGATCACAGTGTCTGTCCTCAGTGTCTGTCCTCAGTGTCTGTCCTCAGTGTCTGTCCTCAGTGTCTGTCCTCAGTCTTTGTTTAATTAACATGTCAATCGTGTCACATGACCGTTCACTTCTGAATCATCTCACACTTTGATGATGGCGATGTGGAAATATTATTTTTATTTCTATCCTACATCCAAAAAAATTGATCCTGAGTTCCTGAGCAGCAGTGCAGTGTCCAACAGGAGGCGCTCCTCCACAGCCTGCAGTAACATGAATATTATATGATCCACTGGTGGTTACATTCTTCAAACCCACAGACACAGTAGTGAAGGTCAGTGGTCACACTGCTGCCTGAGGAACGTTCCCTTCCTACGTCAGCCTGTGTGTGTGTGTGTGTGTGTGTGTGTGTGTGTGTGTGTGTGTATGTGTGTCACTCACTTCATGGTACCCTGCAAAAAAAAAAAAAAAAAAATATACTTTTTGTTTGTTTTTTTTTTCTTCAACTCACTCTGCTTTGGTGATGTTCCTCCAGCAGGACTTGTTGGGTTTAGGAGGAGGAGGAGGAGGAGGAGGAGGAGGAGGGGGAGGAGGGGGAGGAGCACTCTGACTCTCCCCCGGCATGAACATGTCAGGGGGCAGCTTAATGTTCTGGTAGTCTTTGGCAAGAGTGAGGAGGGGGCAACGACTGGGGTGGCACTCTGGGAGAGACAGTCGCATGTCTGTGTCCTCCGCCTGAGGAGGAGGAAGAAAAACAACCATCAGACACGACACAGTGTATATACAGTATAAATGTATACTATGTATTGACCAAGAGACGAACATTTACAGTCACACTAAAATACAACGAACAACAACGGTCTGTACATGGTTTTACCTTCAGAGTGAAGCGGGTGTGACAGGTGGACGGAACAAAGTCACTGAACGGCAGAGTGAAGTCTATGTTGAGGGTCTCACCACAGGCGGCCAGGTACACTGAGAAAGAACAGTCACAGAGCTGAGAAAGAACACTGAGAAAGAACCACAGAGCTGAGAAAGAACAGTCACAGAGCTGAGAAAGAACAGTCACAGAGCTGAGAAAGAACAGTCAGACAGTAGGCGGGGCTACAGAGATCCAGTCATGGACCATGATTACTCTTATTTTAAATACTTTTGTCTGTTCAAACTTCGTATGTGATGCCTCTGTCCTCTTCTGGCCCACTCTTCTGGCCCACTCTTCTGGCCCACTCTTCTAGCCCACTCTTCTAGCCCACTCTTCTGGCCCAGGATCATGTCACCAATGACTTAGTTCTGATTTCAATTTGTTTTAATATTAACAATAAAGCGAGACTAGGTTGAGGATGGATTAGGATTAACTGGATTGAGGATTGAAATATTTTTAACATAGTAAATCATCAACCAGGCACAACTGCACCACCTGCAGGAGAGGAGGTAGTATTACATGTGGACAGTAAGGTAGTTTTGCTGGAGTGAACGATGAGCTGGTCACCAGTTTGACCCTCACTCACCATTCTCCTGCTGCTTGGTGGAACAGTCGATCCAGTTGTGCTGGTTCGCCGCCCAGATCATCTCAAACTGGTGGAAGAGGATCTTGAACTTCCAGGAATAGGGCACGAAGGAGTAGATGTCTGGAGCACTGTCACTTGCCCAGTCCTGGATCAGGTCTTTGGGGGTAGATGATGGTGGTGTAAGGTGAAGCTGAAACAGTCCACTGGTTGTTGTGTGGTCTACTGCAGGACTCACCGGTGAAGAAGTTCTTCTGGGCGTAGATGAAGTGGTACGTGGCCTTGTACACCTCGATCTCACACTGCCACGACTGGGGCATGTTCCACACCCGGGGGTAACTGGCTATCACATGGAACTGAAACAGAGGCAGAGCATGATGACGTTCATCTGAGCTGATGAGGTCAGGTGGACCACTTCACTGTCATCTACTCACAGCCAACATCTCAGCTTCCAGCAGAGTCCTGTACAACATGCTGCTGGTGGCGTCCACGTGCAGCAGCTGACCTTTGATGGTCGGAGAGTAGCCTGCAGCACAGATGAAGAGTCATCAATTTTTTAGAATCTAACCCCCCCCCCCTTCTCTCCCCCCACCACCATTGTTCTCCAGAGAATTAGAAGAAGAACCGGGGGAGGAGGAAGACAGGAACTCCCCACGGACACAGAACCTGAAGCCACTCAGGAGAAAGTATTAAGTCAAAACCAATAATAATGAAATAATAATGAAATCAACCTCGTTAACATGAAAGACAGCTTTAATGACGTGTTAATTCAACTGATAATAAAAGTATGAAAGGTGGAGGTGGATGGAAGTCCTACCGTTCTCCCCCACAGTCATGGGAATGTTGACCTCCAGGTAGGAGCCTGCACCCACATTCACATGGATGGCATTGGTCTCCTAGCAACAGCACGGAGGAGACGTCCAATTAAATCAGATTACAGAGACAGAAGGAGGAAACAGGATGACAGTCCTCAGACGACTCAATCTGCATTTGTGTCGCTAATTAGCATTAGCATTAGCACAGCTGAAGAAGAACCGTTGGAAAAGATGAACCAATCCCAACAGGTAAACTAGAGGGGGGTAGAGAGACAGAGGGGAAGACAGAGGGGGAGACAAAGGGAGGGTGGAGAGACAGAGGGTGAGACAGAGGGGGAGACAGAGGGGGGGGGGAGAGGGGGGGGGGGGGGGGGGAGGGGGGGGGGGGGGGGGAGGGGGGGGGGGAGGGGGGGGGGGGGGGGGGAGGGGGGGGGGGAGGGGGGGGGGGGGGGGAGGGGGGGGGGGAGGGGGGGGGGGAGGGGGGGGGGGGGGGGGAGGGGGGGGGGGGGGGGAGAGGGGGGGGGGGGGGAGAGGGGGGGGGGAGAGGGGGGGGGGGGGGAGAGGGGGGGGGGGGGGGGAGGGGGGGGGGGAGGGGGGGGGGGAGGGGGGGGGGGAGGGGGGGGGGGGAGGGGGGGGGGGGGGGGAGAGGGGGGGGGGAGAGAGAGGGAGGGTGGAGAGACAGAGGGGAAGACAGAGGGGGGAGACAGAGGGGGGGGGGAGAGGGGGGGGGGGGGGAGAGGGGGGGGGGGGGGGGGAGGGGGGGGGGGGAGGGGGGGGGGGGAGGGGGGGGGGGGAGGGGGGGGGGGGAGGGGGGGGGGGAGGGGGGGGGGGGAGGGGGGGGGGGGGGGGGAGAGGGGGGGGGGGGGGAGAGGGGGGGGGGGGGGAGAGGGGGGGGGGGGGGGGGAGAGGGGGGGGGGAGAGAGAGGGAGGGTGGAGAGACAAAGGTGGAGACAGAGGGGGGGGGGAGAGAGAGGGAGGGTGGAGAGACAGAGGGGAAGACAGAGGGGGAGACAAAGGGAGGGTGGAGAGACAGAGGGCGGGTGGAGAGACAAAGGTGGAGACAGAGGGGGGAGAGAGAGGGGGGGGAGAGAGGGGGTGGAGACAGAGGGAGGGGGGAGAGACAGAGGGGGGAGAGAGAGGGGGGAGACAGGGGGGGGAGACAGAGGGAGGGGGGAGCGACAGAGGGCGGG